AATAACGAAATGTTCACGTAGGGATTATATAACATGGCTGCAAAAACGACATATTTACGTAGGGATTATATGACATGGCTGCAATAACGACATATTTACGTAGGGACTATATAACACATGGCTGCAATAACGACATATTTACGTACGGATTATATAACATGGCTGCAATAACGACATATGTACGTAGGGATTATATAACACATGGCTGCAATAACGACATGTTTACGTAGGGATTATGGAACACATAGCGGCAATAAGGAAATATTCACGTTCGGATTGTATAACATGGCTGCAATAAGGAAATATTCACGAAGGAATTATGGAACACATGGCTGCAATAACGAAATATTCACGTAGGGATTATAGAACACATGGCTGCAATAAGGAAATATTCATGCAGGTCTTATGGAACATGGCTGCAATAACGACATATTTACGTAGGGATTATGGAACACATGGCAGCAATAAGGAAGTATTTGCGTAGGACTTATGGAACACATGACTACAATAACAAAATATTCACGTAGGGATTATAGAACACATGGCTGCAATATGGAAATATTCACGTAGGAATTATGGAACATGGCTGCAATAACGACATAATAACGTAGGGATTATAGAACACATGGTTGCAATAAGGAAATATTCATGTAGGGATTATGGAACACATTGCTGCAATAATAAAATATACACAAACCAAATTTGATTATTGACGTTAAATTACTTATTTTTCCTACAAGTCCTAGCTGCATGGCCAAATGTAATGATACTAAATGTTTACTTACTGTTTTATTTTAATGGTGAATATTTAAGATAATTTTTCTCTAACCCCCTGAAACCGTTGTGATATTTTTCAAAGTGTCTTTTATGTTTTAGTTTAACGTGAAATGTGTTTTGAATATATACATATAAAATCTATTTATGGAAAAAATATCAAGTTTATGTTTAAAGACGCCTTTAAGTGATATTAGGGGAACATTTGTTTCTTTTAAACCAATTCTTGCAAGTAAAAGTATGTACGCTTCAGTGACTTTTGAAGACTAAATAGGTCGTTAATTTTTTTCTACGTTAGGTTCGAGATATCGGTACACTCGAGATAACCGATCTCGGGATGACGGGGTCCAACTTTATATAGCAAAACATGTTTTGCAGTATCATATGTGATCTAATATTTGTTAATTGTTGACGTTGATTGTTGATTTACAAAAGTATACGGCCGTTTCCTTATCGGCTGGACATCACTTTGAACAGTGTGAATATATTATGTCGGTTAAACCGGCGTTTATTCAAAGATTTACGGTTAGGTTGTATAAAAAGCTGCAGGGCCCGCTCGAGATCTTAACCTGAAACTTTGTCTACACACCAATAAAGTGTTGAAAGTGACTTTGCTATTCATAATGTTTAATATTTGTAATTGAAATACAGCAGATAAATAGGTTTACTCTGGATAACCGATCCTGTAAGTTTGTGTACAAATTGAATATTTCATGGAGTAATGTATAATTAGTTACGATACCTGCACATTGTGAGAACAAAGCTCAAGGTTAAACGTGAGTTCGTTTTGTTTCAAGAGAATAGCTCTGAAATCTGTCTATTTTGCTTAAAGAGGATTTGCACAAATATCAAACTATATTGCATTTTGCGTGTATATGGCTGATCAGGAAATATGTATATTCTCTGAAATGTTCGAGGAATATATGTAATGTGTGATTAACCCGGGAAGTATACATAAGCCTAATATTTTCAGGTTTTACACATACTTCCTGATCCAACATGAAACTGGTAAGCTGACTAATTTACTGTTGTAGAAATTTTAACCAATTCATTCAACTGTCACTTTTTCCTGATTTAGACGGCCACTTATAAGGACGAGTTGTGTTAACCTACTGAGGACAACAGTGTAGTCCAAATGAAAAGTCTGAAGCTCTGCATCACTATTTCCTTGCTACAAGTTTTGTTAATGCTTTGTTATCCCTGCCCGTCCGTGCAAAACTTGGCACATAGATAGGTCTAGTGGTGAACTGGTGCCTTTCTATAGTTTGGGATTTTGTGAAAAATTACTTCCATGGCAACTAATCAGTATAACTAGTTGACGTATCCACGACAATTATTTACCATTGCAGGGGGTATCGATGACTTTGTCCTTTTGTTTAATTTCACTGTTTCTACTTGCAAGGGTTATTATCCTTAATTCTAGTTTCGGATAGTGTTAATTAAAATGTCTGTCTCATGGAACACACTTTAAGGTCAGAACTGAATTCTTACTTGAGTTTTGTTAGTTCTGTGGAGTAGGAGCGTTGTTGACTAAAGCTTGGTTTCAGCGAATTACACTTTTAGATGACACAAGCGTCACGATAACCATTGGAATAACGGTAATGCAATAAAAGCTGATGTACCTATTAACTGGACGAGGAAATAATCTTTCTCTATTGTATTGGTCAGAATAGTGAGAGCTAGGGGCTGGGATGTTTTTTGTAAAATTGTCGAAGCAAATATATTGTTTGGATCTATCTTTTACATTTTCTGGTAAATTTGTATGTTTTAAAGCTGGTTACCATACACTATCACTTGAACAATTTAAAACCACGAGCACCGTCATGGTGCTGCCAAACAAACCAATCAATGATAATAATAACAGCTAACCTTGGACTCGAACCCACGCAACTCTGCAGTGAATTGCAGCGGGGGCGGTCTGGTAGCCTAGTGGTTTAAGCGTTCGCTCGTCACGCCGAAGACCCGGGTTCGATTCCTGACATGGCTACAATGTGTGAAGCCAATATCTGGTGTCCCCCGTCGTGATATTGCTGGAATAGTGCTAAAAGCGGCGTAAAACCATACTCACTCTATCACTCACTCACTCACTGTATTGCCGCGCCTTGGATGCCATGGCCGTAAACCACTAATGAAGATGAATGGTAACGTTTCCAGAGATTGTATACATGCAAGTACAAGTATATGCGTACAGACAGAAGTTGTACTCTTCCGCTTGGGCAGGATCATGACGGCTATTTGAAAATCTGAAATCTGATCCCACTATATCCTCTTTCAAATCTCAGCTTAAGACATTTCTGTTTTAACAGTCTTACAGTTGCTAAAGCGCACAGAGCATAGTTATTTTGTGAATTGTTGCGCTCTATAAATGCACATATAATAATTATTATTCCAGAGAGATCATTCTCTTAGGAAAATTATATATAGATGTTTGAGGGCCTCCATTGGCAACCAAAACTAGTTCTTTGAATGTCATTGGTTGAAGGTGGTAAAATACGGAATATAAATTTATTATATGCGAGTAATAGTAAGCCCTTAACAACATGGATGTGTGGCACGTTACTGAAGAGTGTCTGGGCATAGATCAAGAAAAAAATATATTGGAGATTTGTCATTTTGTTGTTGGAGGGGAATAGACAGGGACATTTTACATATGAGAGAGTCCATTTTGACATTGATATTACTGCAGATTCCTGGCGCCATCTGTTATTATAGGTTATATAACGTTCAAGAAATTTTTTAAATAATCTTGCAGTGCGTTTGAAAGATTAATATGTTTAAGTAATGTGTTAAAACTCCAACGAGAAACCAGTTTTAATTAACCCCATAATGCATCTGGAGGATTGTGACGGTAAAACATTAGACTGACGCTTGATTCAGAACTGGAACGTGTGGAAAATCTAGACTTGCTTCGTTTAGAACAGCGTTACAGTAATAGTAAGGGCTGGGCTTAAGAGAAAATAATGTGGTTCAGAGACTGTGGGACAGGCAACATCGTTTATGTGGGACAGTCTCTGCCCACTTCATCAACCCACCACCTTAATGATTGCATCTCATTGATGGTCGAACATGAACGACTTCAGAAGTATGAATGAGTGTGTGGGGGAGGGAGCGGAAGAGAGGTAGGGGGAGGGTGGGAGAGGGGCACGGAGGTGAATTGCGGGGGAAGGGGTGTACGGTGACAGTTAATCTGCTGATGTTATCTCCTCAATAAATTCCAGAAGTCAGTGCTCGCACAGAGCAAATGGGCTTCCTATAATTCCTTTGAGGATGGGTACGCGCCATCTGCCAATGTTGAGCAAAACAATAGCGTTAGTCAATTCCCTAGTTCATCGTGGGGTCGTCGTGGCGTTCTTGAGCAACGTCGGGTCACGCGAGCTGCGGAGGAGGTGGCAGACGGGTGGTCGAAACAGGTGCGCCTGCTTGCATCAAAGCCGTCCGCTGTTGTGACCCGGTCATGCTTTTAGGTGAAACCGGCGTACCGGATGTGATTGCGTGGTGTGTTAACAGTCCACCCAACTGGGAAAGTTACCCCTCGAAGGGAGGGGAGGGGGCGTGCGTCTGTTATGCAAGGGGGATGTTGAGATAAATACCGGCTGCAGGTGACGGACAAAGCATGCAACTGGTGTCAGGGTAGGGTCATGTCAACAGACGTGGAGAAAGTTCGTCTAGGTACCGAATGTAATTGATACCCCTGAATGAAGTATTTCTCATTCTGATAGTTTGGGGATCATTGTAGAAATTTCGGCGTAATAGACTCAGCATATCAAAGAACAGGGGGAAAAAAGATAATTATGATTTAAAAAGTTTTTGTATTATCTAATATAAATAGTTGTGGGGACACCGGTACCTGCGGTTAATGAATCCCTTTGCCCGTTCCCCTTTTAATAGTGGTCTTGGGTTCCATCCCAAGGTGTCATACCAAAAAGACGTTAAAAGGTGGTACTTGTTGTTACCCTGCCTGTCGCTCTGCAAGATTGAGGGGCTAAAACAAGGAGCGGTTGGCTCGGAGTCAGTATAATGTGTCTGAGTAGGGTATGTTAAAACCGCGGCATTGTACCTCAGGGTGCTAGCACTGTAAAACCTGCATTAGTCCAGACTGTTAGAAGCAGACAGACCATAGGCGGGTCGAGGATTTTGAAAAAGGGACATTACTGAACTTAGCTGAGACCGCAGTTAACATGTAAGGTGTCTGAAAAGGGGGGCGAGCACGCACGCACGCACACACTGCATGCACGTCGCTATATAAGTCGCTGTTAAAGTCCATGTCACACCACTTTCCATGTCATTTTTTTTCTGTTCTGTAGTGATTGCAGATCGAAAACAAAAGCCACAAGAACCGGGATTCGAACCCACGATCATTGGCCTGAGGGACGCAGCTCCCCATAGCAAATTACGGCAACAAAGTCAACCGTATTTACCTATAAATGTATCGCGCAAAATAACAATCAAAGAGAATGTAATTTCATAATTTTATTACATAAATAAACATGATCTATTTCAAATCTAAAAACATTTTGATATGACTGATGTCATAATTTTATGACATAAATAAACATGATATATTTAAAACATTGAAGCCATTTCGAGATGAAAAATTCAATAAACATAATCAAGATTCAAAGGATGAAGAGCGTATGCGTGAACACACATTTCATTTCGGGACACACACTCCCGACGTTTGCCGCGAAGTTAGAATGTCATAGTAAGGTTGACTAATAGCAGCGACATGATTTTTGGATTGAAACGTCACACGCGCTCCTTTCAGATATCAGATCGATGAAGTAAAAAAATAACTGAAACAAAAACATGTTGGGAATGTTTGATTTGAATCATTTGTATGCTGAAAGATTACCCATTGGATTAGCAGGCACCGTACATGTTCAAAGATGTTCTTTCAGCCGGTTTGTCCACAGGATATGGAACCATTTGGATAACCAGAAGTCTTGAACTTACAAAATTACAAACTGATATTATAGAACTGGTTGTCTGGAGATTTCTTTTTTATGTATCCGAATCAACTCTTTATATTTTATATTGTTTGAACGGGTAGACATGGCAATGAGGCAAGTGTACCCGACTTGTAGCGACGAGCAAAAAAAACCCAAACGAATCTACCGATAACATAAGACAGGTAGGGAGAGTGCGTGAATGAGAGTGCGTGAATATGGTTTTACGCCGCTGTTAACATTATACCCGCAATATCACATCGGGGGACACCAGAAATTGGCTTCACACATTGTACCCATGTGGGGAATCGAGCCCGGGTCTTTGGCCCCACAAGAAAGGTAACGATTCCTTGTGCCACTTAAACCTTGCAAGAAGCCGATGTTCAGAGGCAAATAAGGACGGAATTTCAAGTTTGTCATTTGAGCCAGACAGGTTTGCCGCTGCCGTTCCTTCTGTTAGTGACATAAACTATCACTATGACGAACCGCAATCACAGAACCAGTCAAAAATGGAATTCAATAGTGTCTCGTTCACGTGCACCTTACCACGTGAAAGCACGCGGTCGTTTGTTTTTGGGAATTTGTGAAAAGTGAACAGGAAGTCCATCAACCGGATGCGGAACAGGAATATATTTCATTTTTGATGACTCGTTCAAAAGTCGCCACGTACAGTTTCTTGCAAGTTCAATGGCAAATATTTTGAGCATGAGTTTCGCAAGTTCCTTTCCAGCGCATGTTCGACTTCCGCCCCCAAAAGGAATGTAATGAAAGCGGTCATCGGAAACTGAATTCCATCTGTCGGGGTTAAATTTGTCACTTTCACTGAATATTTCTGTAAGTTCCTGTGTTTCGCGGATGCTGAAGGCGACCGTCCATCCTTTAGGTATTTGGTAGCCCTGAAATAAAATAAGATCAGCAATTAGTATACGAATTAGCAATTAATGCCACTTATGCCAGTGCTGCGTTATCACATTCAAGATACGACGATGAAGCACGAGTGTTTCGATTATTCTTCAAAACGGCATCGTTGAAAAGAGGGATTGTAAAGCGGAACAGGATTTCAGTACCAAGCGTTGCAGAAAGTCGTAACATACGCTAAAATATTGCTATATGAGTAAGTGAATGTTGTTATATCTCAAGTCAGTAACATTCCTGATATATCACGATGACCTGTAAATAATCGAGTCCGGACCAGCCAAACCAGTGACTGAAAGCATGAACAAAGATCAACGCCATCGGCATGACAGCCAATCACCAAAATAAAAAAATACTGAACACTCAAATCCAATTTAGTCAAATCTGACAACATACAAGGTTGCTTGGGACCTATACATAATGTTTGTCGGGCTTGGAACAAATGGATCGGTTTGTTAGGCTCTGTGACAGTGACATGGTTGATCATACCCCTGTGCGTGGAACGTTCCTCATAAAATCAGTCACTGGTTTGTCTGACCCAGATTCGAATATTTACAGGCCGTCGCCATATAGCTGAATATAGTCCGGCATTAAATAACAAACAACAAAATGACTTACATCAATTTCAAATGTTTTGAGTGCTTTTCTGAATCCTCCCCCGATAGGTGGCGCTAGTCGAAGAACTTCTTTCACCACATTGGACACGTATTTTAGTTGACCTATTTTCTCCAGCGACAACTCCGTGTCATCCTCATCCAGACCGTGATCTCTTAGTTCCTCCGTTATCCGGTCAACAACCTGTCATCAAGACAATAATATATCAATATAAGGAATTATTACATGATGAACGACTGGTTCAAAACAGTATATATCAGTTATTACACGGCATGGTAATTTGTTTGTTTGTTACTTTGCCGCACTCGGAAATAGTCCAGCTTTTTGACGGCGGTCTGTAAATAATCACCCACAAACAAATTGGGATCGATGTTACTAGCTCGGGGCAAGCATTAACTGGTTTCTAACACTGTCCCCGGGTTACCTCTCTATTGCAAGTGTCTGTTGTCTTTTCTGAATTAATGAAAACCTCAACATGGTGTAATGACCCTTCTCTCTTTGACGTAACGCGAATGAATACCTCGGAAACAAAAGATTTTTCTGTTACGTGTTTTCAGCGTACAATTACGTCCACCAAAGACGTATATATCTATATACGTCTTTACGTCCACAAATTACGCATTACGTATTAATCATGTATAACGGCACTAAGCCGTGACTATGGTGGTTGTGGGGTGCAAGGATGACCAGTTTGGCAACTGACTCAACCAGGCTCCGGGCGTTCGTTAAGACCCCCGGGCAACGGGGTGAATGACCCGGGGTGATGGTGACATCGTTACGTCACAGAGTGCACGTTTTGAATTCCAGTCAGTCGGTCTGGAGGGCTTTCAGTATATCTGCTGTTAGTTCTCAAGGTCATTGAACTATTGTGCTCGCCGCTTGTCATAACAATTGCTTGTGTTGGGTCACTGTTGTGTAATGTCACAGCAAGAGTTCCCTCGGGAAGATTTGGGGCCTGTAGCGCGACTAAGTATTGTCAGTTGCTACGTACGGAATACATAAAGGCACAAGGACAATTGTAACGATTAGTGAACTAGGTTTCGGCTAACAAAAGCAAATTGTATTCCAAATTATTTCTAATCATTTGTGCATGACCCCCCCCCCCCCCCCCCCCCCCACACACACACTTTTCAAAAGGCTGTATCCTTTCATAATCATCATCATCATCATCATTATCAGTAGTAGTAGTATTATGTTTGTTTGTTGCTTAACGCTGCACTCAGCAATATTACAGCTATATGACGGCGGTTTGTAGATAATCGAGTCTAGTAGTAGTAGTAGTAGTAGTAGTAGTAGTAGTAGTAGTAGTAGTTGAGATAAAAAACAGTAGAGTAGCTGCTGTAGTGATACCAGTAATAGCAGTAGAGTGATATAAGTGAACACTATTCAGTATTGGAAGGAAAGCCCAATCCAGGCTCCAGATGCTAGTGGTACGGCAGTAGTAGAAGAAGTAGCAGTAGCAGCGAAGAAGTAGTAGTGGTAGTAGTAGTAGTAGTAGTAGTGGTGGTGGTGGTGGCAGTCGTAGTAGGAGATGTAGTATTAGTAGTAGCAGTAGTAGTAGCTGCACTCACGTGTTTGTTCTTGGCGAGATGGAGAAGAAGGGATGACGCAGCACTGGCGCACGTGGCATGGCCAGCAAACAGAAGTTCAAGGCCGACGTCTTTCAGCTCCTCCAGCGTTAGTTTTTCCTCCCCGTCGATCCCCATCATGAGGGACAGGGCGTCGAAGCCGCTCCCTTCTTCCTTCCGTTGTTGAAGGCACTCCTCAATCTTAGACAACAGTTTGTGACGAGCGTTCAGACCCTGGAGAGAAACATCTTGGTGAAAACCAATATTCACGTATAAGTTTATGGTGCGTCACCGTCTCATATCTGACGAGTGGTTTGTTACAAAATTAGTGCTGCTGCCAAATCGGCCGATTGATTGCTTGTTACTATTTGAAATGTCGGTATTAGAAAATAAACAGAGCTTCTGTGGTCCATTATTTGCACCTGTATAGACTGAACCTTAAATGATGCCACGTGAGGTATCCATAAGAATATAGAACCAGCAGCCTATGCCTGATGTATGCGGCTAAATGGATCGGGTGGTCTTGGTTGAAGCATGTCATTGCTTCCTAATTGCGTGGATAGATGTTCAGGATGGCAATCACTTAATTGTCGGACAGGTTCAGACTCCGTTATTTACCGATTGCCGTCATATAGCTGTAACCCGTGAGGATCTGGGTTAGAATAGGTCTTCAGCAACCCATGTTTGCCATAAAGGTCAACTATGCTTGTCGTAAGAGGCGACTAACGGGATCGGGTTGTCTGGCTCACTGACTTGGTTGATGCATATCATCGTATCCCAATTGCGTGGATCGATGTTCATGATGTCAATCACTGAATTATCTGGTCCAGATTCAGTTATGTACAGGCTGCGTCATATAGCTGTAATATTGCTCAGCGCGGCGTTAAAGAACCAACCAACAAACAAACGAACTCTGTACCTTATTAAAGCCAGATCCGGGAACATTGAAGGGAAGGGAAAAGAGGCTGTCCATGAACTCCCCAAATGTTTCCAAGAGTTGCTGGTGCTCCTTCTCGCTGACCTTGAACCCCACCAGCACGCGACACGCGGTCTTGAATGTCATACTCTTGCATTCTGGGTACCCAAAGACGTATCCCTGCTGACACCACCTCTGGATGTAGGAGCGGGTGACGTCTTGGACGGCGCCGACGTAAGACGACAGCGCTTTGTGACTGAAGGCCTTTAGGATGACCTTGCGACGGTGGCGGTGGGTGTCACCCATGGCGTGGGTAACTGTCCCCTCCCCCATGAGAGTGCGGACGCTCTTGGGCCAGTAGGCGGTCACCAGGGAGTGCTCTCCTAGTAGAATTTTCCGGATGTTTTTGGCTCCGACTACCCGGATGGTGGGGTTTCCCAGGATGTGTGTCTTGAAGACGTTCCCGTACGACTTGAGTCTCTGTTTGTAGAACTTGGCGCCCTGAAAAAGAGGAACATTGCGTTTATGATTGTTTATTTGTTGTTTAACGCCGCAGTCTGCAATATTCCAGCCATATGACGGCGGTCAGGAAATAATCGAATCAGACACCAGTGACTGACATCATGAGCATCGATCAACGCAAATGACTTGCAATTAACACGTCTCCGACAACCCGATCCATTCAGTCTCTCCTTACGACAAGTACAGGATGCTAGGGACCTATGTTCTCACCCAGAATCCCCATGGGACCATGAGGTAAAAGTGTATCAAAATATATTTCCGACAAACCTCAAGGGATAACAATATGTTTTTTTAAATTGAGAAAATACACATTAAATGCATTATTCAAAGCGTTTTCGTTTAGAAATCATAATTACTATTCACTTTAACAGAAATTAAATCGAATTACAAGCCTACCATTAACACAAGATTGAGGGTTTCCCCAATGACCGGAAGTCCCATACTGCCTGGTGGAAGCGGAAGTTTGCAGGTCTGGTCTCGGCAGTTCACGTTGTAGATGTACCACAATTGCCAGGACGTAACCAGGAGGATCATGGGAAGTATCGATGGCATCAGCACAGACATTATAGCAAGCACACTTCTCTCACTCGGTTCCAACAAGCTGCAACATCAAACAGTTACAAATGAATAATAATTTATATTGTTTGTTTGTTTTATTTTAACGCCGCACTCAGCAATATTCCAGCTATATGACGGCGGTCGGTAAATAATCAAATCTGGAACAGCAAATACAGTGATTGATATCATGAGCATCGTTCTACGCAATTGGGATACTATGACAACCATCAAGCAAATCAGTGAGTCTGACCACCTAATCCCGTTAGTCGCCTCTTACGACAAGCATAGTCACCTTTAACGGAAAGCATGAGTTGCTGAAGACCTTTTCAAACCCGGATCTTCACGAGTAAATAATTAGTTGTAATAAAGAATAATTAGTATCGATAATTATTAACTATTTATAATTATTATAAACAAACAAGGCAACATGTGCGTTTTAACTAACAGTATATTTGTCTTTCCATCCTTATCCACGAAACATCAGCTTGGCCAGTGTAAAGATCTGGCTCAGATGTGATATCAGTACGTGATTCGCACGCATGGCCCACGGAGACACACCATTCCATGATGAGCATTATCAATGTGTAGCCGCTGTTTATACTAATCTGTGGCATATTAAGTACTTGATTATTAACTGTGACTTTACAGACAATGCAACAAATAATATAATAAATAATATAATAAACAAATAATATCGGATTTTTTAACCCCTTCAATTACGAAAACATCTTATAAGTATGCCGGTTGTCTTGTTTCTAGGGATATGATTAACCCATACCCAGCCTAAAGCTTACAAGATATCAGTTTAATTGGCAGTATCATGTTTGACCGGTGGACTGCACGCCCACGCGTAGGAGTGGTCGGTCTGAATGACCACGCTCCGCCCAGCACGCGACAACTTGACCTCTGTGTGTAGCCGGTGTGACCCCAGACCTCACCTCATATGACCTTCTCCCTCGGTCACGCATGCGCAGCGCGGTCACGTGGTACATTTGCGTGTGCGCTAAAACCAGGTTGGACACTCCTTGTCGGTACAATAAGTGACTATTTAATTTTATAATATTCTAAATATCAAACTTATTACTTAATCTCAATGTATTCATCTAAGTCCTTTTCCCATATTGATCTAGGAAATAAAAAATCACAGTCGTAATCATGTGTATATCGCTGACGAAGTTCCGACACTACATGATAGGCAAGTATCTTTAGAAATCAGGTATAGCATTTTAAAGATATTTGCTTGCTGCACTAACGTGTGAAACTATTTCATGGTTTTACATTAATAATAATAATAATAATAATAATTTCTTTAGGGCATATTTTTAACATTTCTTAATAAAGAACCATTATTTGAAGCGGTCTTGTTTCTTTAAAAGGGTAGTTTTTGGCTTCAAGGTAACAAGCTTACATTCGTCAAATTTGACATGTTTACGGACTTGACAAACATTTTCTTTTGACAACTAAAGAAGTATCAGTATTGAGGAAGTACCGATTTCACTTTGCAACACGTATCCTAGAAGAGATCACACTGATACATTCACGCCGGGCACACTTACAGAGGACATAAAGTATTTTGTGAATGGCTGCATATCAGTATTGAACATATACTTACACATATTTGTTACATTTCATGAAAATATATGACACTTTATTGTTATGATTTATTGACGATTTTTTAAAACACAGTTACAAAAATATTCATAAGCACAAAAATGAAAAACTCAAAAAAATATAATTGTCATTTACCTGTTTTGCTAAAGCCGGTTGCCGGTAAGTTAATTAAATAAAACTGAATATAACCTCAAACAACTATATATATTAAAAAAATGAATTAAAACGTTTGTCAACAAAATTCGAATTAAACCCTTACCTTATTTCTCCATAATTAATTTCCTCTACAGTAAAGGCAACTTGTGAGAAGCTCGCATTGCACTCGTAAACAGCCATGCTTGTTGCTTGTAAAAGCTCGTGTCTAGTAATGCAAGAAACAGGAGCAGCCGGTCTTATATCGCCCGGCGAGTCTCACGTAAACCAATTACTGACCTTGCATCGACGTAATCGCTGCCCCCGAGGTCACCAAGGTCAGGTGAAAGCAACGGTGAACATCGCTGCCCTTTTGTTCTTAGACTACGACCCCTGACCTTTACCTCCAAACATCGTTCTTTTCCATTGGAGGAGGTGGGTTCAGCCTAAACATGTTGTTCCCGACCCCCCGTGGTACCCCATCCCTGTCACGTGGTTTGACGAGGGAGGGGTCCCATCTGTCTGCCATGCCCTGGTCAGGGCAAGCCTTAGGTCAAATTTAAATCTGACGCAATTAATTTGAATTTGTGGAGAGCTTCCATGATTAACCAGCGTTGGTAATTTGACAAGCGAAAGCAGCGCTTGCTTGGCCTTATGGGGACATTTGGCTTGGAGTGAGCTTTGCTAATTCAAATGAGATTTCATTATAGTTAAACAATTGCGTGTTAACCCCCCCAAAAAAAACAAACAAAACAACAACAACAAAAAAACAAAACAAAACAAAACAAAAAAAACAAACAAAAAAACCCCACCAAAACAAACAAACAAACAACAAAACAAAACAACAACCCAAAACAAACAAACAACAACAAAAAACCAAAAAAAACACCAAAACAACACCAAACAAACAAACAACAACAACAAACAACGACAGTAATTATGCATTGAGAAGAGATGGAATAAGATTCGAGGGTCCCAAATCTTCATAATGTTCATCACATTTCCATCATATTTATAATCGTTCAAATATCACTATGATATAAATACATAATTAAACTTCTTTACAGTAATAGGTAATTTATTCTATGTTAATAATTTTATGACACAGTGTTCGAGTATTGACTTGAAGGGAAATGGACTAAAGAGAGTATCGAAGGATTCTATACGGTTTTCACTTTTAGTGTGATGCCCAAAAACTTCGCTCAAAACGAGGTATTGAGGTACAGTGCGTGCCCAGGCAAACCATTCATCAGACGCAATTCTACATCCGGTTTTAAAGTATTATATTGATAATGAAACTAAGCACATATAGTGTTTTCCGTAAATTCTAAATGTCAAATGCTTTGCATTCTTTGCACTAACAGTTCAACTTTGTTTTTATCCAAAAATATGCATAAAGAAGAGCCTTTCGAAAAAAAACAAAAGGAAAGGTTAAGTCAATTTGATTAACGTCCACACAGAATTATTATATCATTATCATTTTTTCACATAGTTAAACTAAAGACAGACGCCAAGTCTATATAGGCTTAACGCACGGACCCGGAAGTACCAGCGCAAGAACTTTCCGCGTCACCGAGTACCGATCCCAGTCCGAGACTCCCTGCATTTCCATGACCCGCATTTCACCTTCTGATACAATGGCGCGGGGGGATAAAACCTCAGTTTGTATTGATGGGATTAGTTTGGGCTGGGTGTGAATCTATTGACAGCTCGTCTTTAGATATAGTAAATAACTACCTCGTCTCGCAACACGTGTCGTACAACGACACAAATTAGTAATTATTGTAGAAATTAAGAAATATTGAATACAATTGCTCCTTTGTAACCTGAACTTCGAACCACGCGTAAGAAGAGAAACTTTGAACATGTATGTCTGAACTTGTTGTTCAGTTTGGTATTAGAGGCAAAACAGAAAACATGTTTCTAAAGATCATTAAAAAAAGTATCATTTTCTCTGAAACACGAGATGTAGTCATTTTTCAAGTTCATCGTTGTGTATTGTGTAGTAGCCTTCGTTTCAGTCTTGTGTGTGGCTTCATGACCGCATGTATCTGTTGTAGTGGACAATCTGGAAAGTGTCTCATTCATTGTTTTTGCAGGAAGCTCCTGTTGAGTTGATCGGGTGGACACAATGGCCAGCGTATCTCGACGATAAATATGTGTGTTCACACTATCCTCCACTTGGTGCCGTTGTACAAAACAACCTTAGCACTACGACTGTCGTAAGCCAATGTTATGGTATGGGAGTTACGATCACCTTAGCGTTACGATCGCTTTGTACAACGGCACACTGGTCCAGCTGGCCCACTTGCACGAAGCGATCCTAGCGCTAAGACTATCGTAAGCCTATATTAACGTATGGGAGTTACGGTCATCTTAACGCTAAGATCGCTTTGTGCAAGTGGGCCATGTTCCAATAAGGGCGCGAGTCAGACCGCATTGACACGCCATGTAGATGTCTTAACACTGTGGACCTATCACGAGGGAAAAACGGTTTGATGTACCCCCCGCGTGGCCGGGTGCCCCTAGCCGACATGAATAAATACTACAACACATTCACTTTAATTTCACCATATTTATCAATTACCACATTTTGAGAGAAACGGAGATGTGATGAGCACCGTTTGTTTTGTCGCCATATTGCCGTAGCTTGTACCGAGACCGGTATTTGTTGAAAACACCAAACTTATACCCTCAGATATACCATGACTTAAATCTGTAATGTGACGTGATAGTGCAGAGATTCAGTTCAATTCTATTCGGTGGTGGGCAAAACTCATCGTCAATTGTCTGCTGTTGATCATAAGAGATTCTGGTGTTCCCCGCCGTGATATTGCTGGAATATTGCTAAAAGCGGCGTAACACCATACTCACTCACTCACTCACTATCATAAGAGAATGGAGTTGTGATACATTAGATGATCGAAGATTACTATAAATAATAATATTAATACATGTACTTTCCTTTCAATATGAAGTGAGTGAGTGAGTGAGTTTAACGCTGCTTTGAACAGTGTTTCAGTTGTATTAAACCGTATCGGGTTGATGTGGGAGGAAAGCCTTGAGTGATGCAGGTCTGAGACGTTTTACCACTTTGGTGAAGACCAACATAGTCCTCGCCATTTGAAACAGAATCTCGAAATATCGCGATTATTAATTTACGAAGATAGTTGCATGTGAAATCAAACCATTGCGGCTATATGGAATGTTAGTTAGTTATGTCAAAAATTGTAAAGTGCGCTTGTCTGGAAATATCCATGTCGCTAGCGATAAACATCACTGTGTTTGGATCATGTGGTTACAATCCGTGTGAGGGTCGACAGTCAGATAACTACAAGCGGTCACACTACATGTTCCATCTGTTTAACCATAATCGGTAGAACATATCCCCTTGTGCCTGTTTAAAATCATTTTAATCCAGTTAAGTTACTTCTTGATACACCACACATCTTTGGTTGTTCTATAGTCTGATGCATATCTTGTACTTAAACACAGTCCGTCACTGCAGGCCGAATCCTTGTCGGTTGGTTGGTTTGTTGTTTAACGCCGCACTCAGCAATATTCCAGCTATATGACGGCGGTCTGTAAATAATCGAGTCTTAATAATCCAGTGATTAATGTTATGAACATCGATCCACGGAATTGGGATCGATGACATGCATCAACCAAGTCAGCGAGCCTGACCACCCGATCCCGTTAGTCGCCTCATACGACAAGCATAGTCGCCTTTTACGACAAGCATGGGTTGCTGAAGACCTATTCTACCCCGGATCTTCAAGGGTCCAATCCTTGTCGGGAAAGGCGATTAAGTAGTCACCGACTATGATCCTCGGTTTGTCAGCACCACACTCGCTTTAAAATGGTTCCCGATTTTAAACCCCCATGACTTGTCACACTTAAGGATTTCCTCCAACATTGAACTGTCACACAGTGGTATGACAAATATACTTATCAAAGCGGCCTTGAACCTACTTTTCTCATCTCACATGACGGCCTATTACATCGCCATGTCCCGAGTATTTAACAACGGTTTGTGTGGGCCAACACGTGTCTGCTTACTGGCGTCGTGTTACATACTGTATTGCTGACTATAGCATAAGACCACACTCACTGAGAAACTATGTCACAGTGACAAATTCCATCTTTCATTTACATCAAATGAGGATTCTCGAGTGTACGAGATCCAAATCACTTAATTCAACATTCTGAGTGGCAAAGTAAATGCCATGGCTGTTCATGTTTAATTTAATTTTTAATGAATTTAATTTTTAATTATAATTTTATTTTTTATTAAAACTGTAAATAAAAAATTTAAATTAGAATTTAATTTTTTAATTAGAATGAGGACACATATGTCCCAAGCCCCATCCCATCCACCTCCCAAACCATATCCACCTCACACATCCGCCCAATCGGACATTTCTATACATCACTTATTTCCCTTAATTCCTGTAAATATTATTAGGTTTAAAGTTTGAAGTGTACTTTACTATTATTATAATTGAGTTATATTTATCGATATGACCGGAGTGATCGGCAGCTTTATTCCTAAGCCGATCCATCTGTGCCGGAACACGACAGGGTCGGCTATAGAGTCGGCGTGGGGGTCACTGGAGGAGTGGTGAGGGTGAGCGATGACGTCGTCATGAGGCCACAGTGAAACGCTGAGAGGGCATAGATCCACATTCAGTCTCAACACAGGGAATGACGTTTGACCTAACAGAGTTCAACAATCATCAGTAGTCATCTATCAGTATATTCATCATTTCCATGTTGGTGTTTCCGCTTTTGTACATTGTTTAAAAGGATAGACACAAGAAATAGTTAATGGTAATCATCAAGTCAATCTAAAAGGCTGAAAGACCTAACGTATCACGTGGGATGGAATATAATTCCCTTTCTGTACACGTCAGAATTAAACATATCCCCCAAACCAAACAAGTACTTAATTAAACATTAAACACAGCCTACAAAAAAATCCCGCTTAATGGCCACCAAAACGAAAATGTAAAATACATAAACGTGTGAATATCCGTTTAAAATTTTTCCTTTTTTTCAATGTCCATACGTATGTTATTCAAAGGGTTAGTGTGATAACATTGTTGTAGTCCTCTGATGTCCCAGTTCTAAAATAATTATCAGAATACATTAAAGATGCCATGAATCTCCGATCTTCATAATTGTAAATATTTGCTCTTCCACACATGTTCAAAATATCTTTATTGTATTAAATGTACTTGCGCCTTATATTGCAGCAGTGAAACCTTCCAAGTTTCCAGGTAATTTAAGACTTGACCTAATACACGAAAACGAAAAAATGTATTGCCATTCCAAAGCACAGGAGTCGTTAGGCAGACATCGTAAAGATTTTGTTTTGGTCGAGCGAACGCACAAACCATGGACTACCTTACATCGCCCCGAACACATCTGAAATTTGAACAGACCTGTATCTTGGAGCATGTTACATTCGCATTGCTTTACCGTCATTTACATATATGTATGCAAAAACAATAGGTACTATTTAATGGTGAAGGGGTGCTATAATAGATTTTTTCAAAACGCAATCTAGCAAGGAAAAACTGGCACAGATATTACTCGATCAGGAGTAGGAAAATCATATCGCCAGTTGAAGGGGACACAAAAGATAACAATTCTTTCCTTATGTGAACTCTTACTCTTTCGCCCTGTGTGTGCGTGTGCGTGTGCGTGCGCGTGCGTATGTGTG